CTACAATGACAGAAAGCATCCTTACAAGATTTTCTGGGAGCTGACTTCCATTCTCCTAGTTTGGGCTTGAATTGAAAGAAGAGTTTATTGTGTGGGTTATCTTCCCAGTACCTGTTGCCATTCCTTTTGAATGTATTTTTATTAATAACCTCCTTAAAATCTGTGTATGGGATTTTTTTGGTCCTTGTATCCACATTCACATCTAAAAGCCAACTTGGCTGCTAGGATCTGCTTCATTATTACCTTTAACTCTGATGTGGCTAGGAATCCAGCATAGTTTGATGTCTTTATGCTTGTTAATAGTGCTCATTTTGCATAATATGTTTTTAATAAGTGGGTTGTTGTTTTTTTTTTTTCAAAGCCAATAGGATGGATAGTAAAAAGTCAAAAAAAAATTTTTTTTTTTGTTTGCTCTCTGAGATAATGTTGAGAGCTAGCTTGATTGCATAAGACTCTGCAGTGAAAAAAGAGCTTCCTTTTTGGGAGGCGCATTTTTTTTTTTTTTTTGGTAATATTTTGGCTCACTGCTGCATATCCTATCTTGTCCTCACATTTTGACCCGTCTGTATAGATGGGTGTATGGTTAGGGAAGTTTGCCAATATGTCCTGAAACTTATCCTGGAAATGAGTGGGTGTTTTTTTTTTTTTTGGGGAGATAATTTAATTCTAGCAGAACTTTGGGTTGCTTGATAGTCCATGGTAGAATACTGGCTACAGTCATTTCTTGTATATTTGAGAGTGTGGTGCCTAACTCTTCAGCAATGGATTTCATCCTGAGTCTGTAGGGTTGTATAGCATTATTTTTTGTTGGAATAGATTGCAGTAATTCAGTTCAAAGGTACTGCTGTAAGCTGGGTTAGTTGGGCATGATTTTATTTTTACATAGTACTGTAGTGCCAGTTTAGTGCACTGTAAATGTGGAGGTGTTTCATTAGCTTTCTGTGTATAAGCTCTCCACTGGGGATGTTCTAAAAGCCCAGAGTACTAATCTGAGGCCTTGATGATAGGTTGCATTGAGAATTTTTAGGTATGACTTTCTGGCCACCCCATATATGAAACTAGCGTAATCCAGTTTTGAGTGAAGTAGTGATCTGTATAATTTGATTAATGTTAGTTGATCTGCTCCCCATTCAGTATGGGCCACTACATGCAGAAGTTGTAGGGCTTTGCTACATTTTGTTTTCAAATATTTTAGATGGGGAATGAACGTTAATTTTTTTTCAAAAAGATAATGCTTAGAAACTTGTGTTGTTCCACTACTGGGATTTCTGCTCTGTCTAATTTTAAACATGGGTCATTGTGCAATTTTTTTAATTTGCAGAAATGTAGGCATTTGGTTTTCGTTTTGAAATACGTAAACACATTTTCAGTGGCACATTTGTGTATTTTATTCAGACATTCTTGTAGTTATCTTACAATAATATTCAGATGTCGAGATCTGTACATAATTGGAAAATCATCGAGGTATAGAGAGCTTCTCACTCCTGGGATTAGAGTTTTAACTATGGGGTTAATTTTTTATGCAAAAAATAGTCATTTTGAAAAAATGCTTCCTAGTGGAACCCCTTCTTGATCTTACAGTTCCGATAACGTACTTCCTATATGGACTTGAAACCTCCGGTCTTTCAGGAAATTCCCTATGAATTGAATCAGCCTTCCTTTTAGACCCAGTTCATGCAGATCTTTCAAGATACCAAATTTCCATGTTGTATTGTACACCAATTTTTTTTCTAAAAAAAAAAAATACTAAATGAGATGTTTTTTTTCTTAATGAAGGCTTTCCCTTACAAAGGTTTTGAGGTGTACTAAGTGATCCATGGCATTTTTTTTTTTCCTAAAAGCACATTGGTAGTCACTGATTAGGCCGTTAGTTTCCAGGTACCAAGTCAACCTGTTGTTGACCATTCTCTCCATAGTTTTACATAGGCAGCTCATTAGTGCTATCGGCCTGTAGCTTTCAGGGTCTGTGTCATCCTTTCCAGGTTTTGGAATAGGGATGATGAATGACTGTCTCCACATATCTGGAAGTTGCCATTTGTTCATATGTTGTTATACAAATTTAGTAACAGTTGTAATGATTTGTTGGGCAACTGTTTTATGAATTGATAGTGGATATCATCTGGTCCCACAGCTGTATTGTGGGCTTTCTTTAAAGATTCATTTAGTTCCTCTATAGTGAATGGTAGGTTATAGCTCTCAGTGTTATTTGATTTAAGTTTTAAAATTTTGTTTTTTTTTTTTTTTGCTTTTTTTTGAGCTTCAGAAATTGTTGGCTACCATTCTTGGCAGATGAGTTTTTTTTGGAGATTTTTTGGCTAATTGATCATGATATTTTTTTTGCTGGTTATTTTACAGTTATTTATCGAGAGATGTTTTATTATTAGTATGATGTTTACAGCTATTTTTTATTATATCCCATATAGATTTTTTTTTTTTTTTGGCAGAATTAAGTCTGCTGACATAATTTTTCCAACAATTTTTTTTTTTTTTTCTACAAAATTTTTTTTTGTGCTTTTGCTCAAAGTTGTTTTTTTAAATTGTAACAAATTAGAGGTTATAAGGCTGTTTGAAATCTCTCAATATTCTTTTCTTTCTTCTGAGCCTGATAGCTTTTTTACATTCATCATTGAACCAAGGTCTGTTACTGTTTTTTTTTGTACTTTTTTTTTTTTTGGAATGCATTTTTTGCTATAGATATAAATTTTTATAAACTGTTTTAAGTGTTTGATGCATTTACCTTCAGCTAGTTTATCAGAACATTGGTTTTTAAATTTGTCCCAGTTCACTCTGCCTAATTTCCAATCGAGAGGATTTTTATCATTATGTTCTGAATTTTGCAGAACAATTGGCAAGTGATCACTTTTGCATGTGTCTACCAGAACCTTCCAAGAGAAATTCCTATAGATTGATGGATCACATATGGATAAATCTATTGTAGAGTAACTGCCAGTAAATGGATTTATGTAGGTTGAAATTTTACCATTATAAATACATAAATCATTGTTGTTTATATTGTTTCTAAAGACCTTTCCTTTTAGTTTGTGTCTTTATGGTGCTGTGACACTTAAAGCCCACTAATATCATAAAAGGTGCAGAGAGTTGCCTTATAATTTAATGAATTTTGGTTTCTTTTACTTGTTCATCAGGTGGGATATCTACTGAGCAAATGTTTATTGTCCTATGTAGGGTCACTTTAACAGTAGTCACTTGTAAAGTAGTTGTCAAATTTATTTTACTTTGGGGTACATCATTCCTAACTAGGATAGATGTACCACCAGATGCACAAAGACCAGTGTCATGTGTATGGTTGTATTGCTGGTATTCTTTTATATTCATTTTGTCACCTTGCTTAAGGAATGTTTCCTGAAGGCAAACAACTGCCAGTGACAGGTCTGTTATTAACAGAAGCAGTTCATTTATATTTGCCTTTATTCCACAGCAGTTCCATTGAATTATCTTATGCATGGCTGTTTAAACGTTTTTCGGCCTTTAGCTTATGTGGTTTTGATTTCTTTTTTCCTAGGTTTTCATTTTGGAGGTTTTAGCCATTTGAGGGTTCTGGCTTTCCACCTCCATCTTTTCTAGTTCATCAAATTGGTTTTGCATAGGAATTTGGTTGTTGTGGATTTCTGGCTTTTGTTTGGCTGATTCTGTTCTTTTGGGAGATAAGCTTTTCAGTCTGTCTTTCCTGGGTTTTGGTGGATAGATAAGAGATCACTATGACCTTTGTTTAGTAGGAGATTTGGTATTTTTGGTAGGAGTGGTTTGTGTTTGAGCTGTTTTTTTGCTATTTGTTTTTTTTTTTATTTATTTTTTTTTTTTTTCATTTCCTTCTTTTTTGTGGTTCAGCCTGCACCATTTCCTTGGAATATAGACTTTTTTAGGTAAGTTTGAAATTTGGGCCAATCATTTTGGTCCCAAGTGTATGAACTTCTCAATGAGGGCTCTGTATTTGTCAGGCTGACCAGCATTATTTGTAGTCTTATTTTCCATTATTTTTTTTATAGGAAGGGCCCTTTCATGTAACCTTTACTACTTGCCTTGCTTCTGAAAAATGAGATGTTTTTTTTTATATTTTACTTCAACAATTTTCTTTTTCCTTTTTTTCCAGAAATTGCATGTTCTTGAGTATGCTGGATGGCTTTTTCCTGGCAGTTAGCATTTCTTATTTCATTCTGGAATTCGTCTTCAGTATGGTCTGAATCTCTGATCACATTTTCCATATGTTGGGTGACTCCTGTAGCTATCCCTATAATGTACAAATTTTTTGCACCTAAAGCATCTTAGTGGAGCAGGTATACATTGTTCCACTGGCTCAATATTATACCCTATTTTTTTTTTTTTGGGGATTTCAGGTGTGCCAAAAGTAAGGATATATGTGTCAGTTATAATTGTTTTTCCTTTTTTTTTTAATTGAGATTCTATGGTAATCACCTGGCTTCCTAAGGCAGATGTAATTTCCTCAGGTGTGGCCAGAGACAACTCTTTACTTCTAATGACTCCCTTAGAAGTATTCAGTCTTGCATGAGGGAAGGTTTTAATTTTGATATTATGAAAGGTCTTCATCTTTATTATATTTTCTGCATGTTTCCTATGTTCCACCTCAACCAGCAAATTGCCATCTCTCAACTTTCTGTTTTAGGATTAATCCTACTGGATAGTACCTTTTCAATCAAGGAAGGGGAAAGTTTGTCCAGCAGAGTTTCTTCTAGGGACGTGAGCACAAAAAAATCTCAGAAATTCTGTATTAATTTCTTTTTCAGAATCAGAGTCTGAAAGACATCTCTTAGGCTTTTCATTTTGATTAGTCATAATTTTTTGTGTATTAAGATTCACTGCCTGTGCTCCCCACCCACCTCAGAGCCCAACATTGGGACATGTCAAGGAGGAAAACCAGTTGCCTTGACAGGTCAGGGCTACACAAACCAGTATACTTGTATTTGAGAGAGACTGAGCACCTGTTAAACCATTTGTTGCACTTCCCAAATAAGTGTACAAACTGGCATGTTCACAGCCAAGAAAGAAAGAGAGAGAGAAAGAGAGAGAGAGAAAGAGAGAGAGAGAAAGAGAGAGAGAGAAAGAGAGAGAGAGAATAAGTTTCATGCACATACTATTTCCAGAGACCTATCACTTCTATGTATATTTCATTGTTACCTTCTGTTTTTTATGGTGGCTTGCTATATGATATTACTTTGTAAGCCATTACTGTCTAAGGGAAGTCTATACTTTGTTCTGCTGTTACAGGTGACTTTCATTGGCGTAGCTGACTTGGATATTTTTTCTGTTGTGTTTTTTCATCTGTGTCCTGTTAGTGATGCAGTTATAACTGATTATTATTGGTTCTGTCAAATATTTTGTGATAAACATACAATGGAAAGAACTGTTTGTGGCAGAGTTTCATCAATATTTTCCCTACATTTACTTGCATGTTTTTAATACAGAAGTTCAGAGATAAATTTACTGAATATTTTGACTTTCAAATCAAAGGGTGTAGCTGTGTATGGATTCATTGAAATTTTTTGACCCTTTAAATAATTTTCCAACACCCCCACCATATATTGCTTATTGAGAAAAATTCCAATGTGGCCATTTGTTAAGATCCTTGGGAAATCTTTAATAATGAAAAATCCTTTGTTTTTTCCTCTTAATAATAAAAAAGATTTTGATGTTAAAACTTTATTTTTATTGTCTGGGGCATTTTTATCATGTATACAAATCTTTGGAGGTATATATATATATATATATATATATATAATGAAATGGACATAGTCCGGCAATTATTTTTTAAGTCATTTTTTATGTTTATACGTTCTTTTTATAGATACATAGATACAAATATTTAAGTAAATGCTCTGTTTATAATAAACAGTATTAACAACATTTACCAGCCTGAATGTCCAAGAAATTTTCATGTGTTCTCCGCCGACTGGGCCAGAGAGGAGCGTTCAGTTAGCAAGGTCGATTTTACTGTTTTTAAAACAATTTTTCATGATTTTCTCATTCATTCATATCTGTTCAATGCGTATCCAAATCATTTATGTTTATAAAAAAAAAAAAAATCCAACTAAATGTTTGAAAAAAATATAATTGTCAGACTTTGTCAATTTCATAATGTATGGACGTCATTTGTTTACATTTGGATATGCATTGAGCAGATATGAATGAATGAGAGAAAATCATGGAGAATTGTGTTTAAAAATAGTAAAATCAACCTTGATAACCGAACATTCCTCTGGGACCCAATCAGTTAAGGCATGTCAGGCTATATGATGGTTCTGTATAGTATACAGGTTCGATTCCTGTCAGAGGATGCATATTTTCTATGAACATTTCTTGGACATTCAGGCTGTTAAATGTTGTTAATACTGTTTATTATAAACAGAGCATTTACTTAAATATTTGTATCTATAAAAAGAATGTATAAACAAAAAAAAAATGACCATACATACATACATACACACACACATACATACAGTCTGATATTAAGCACTTTTACCTATAAATATAACATTAAGATTCCTGAACTTAGGCACGTTAGTGTAGGTAAGGATATGGCCTTTATCTAGCAAATGTTTAATTATTGAAGGATAGAAATCATATCCAATTAGATAGTTCAATTGTGTTTACTTAATTACAGAACTAGTCCACTTGTTTTGTTTCCCTACCCCCACTTTTATTTCCGAGTTAGTTCACTTTTAGTTGGATTCAGTCTGAATGTTCAAAGTTTTGTGATCTTTTAGTAAAATGAATGCTTGTGATTTCACAGTGCAGTTTATGCAGTTATCTAGGTCTAAATTATGGGCAATTTCTTTAGCTTACAGTTTAATGTTATATTATTTAGTTGGTGACCTGTTTGTAGAAGTAGTTATGACTTGTTACACATGAGATTGCTAACTTTCAAAAGAAATGAATTTTAACTCAGGAATTTTACATATATATTTATATAAAGAATAACATAGCTCACAAAAGAAAAAGTGATAATTATATTTGTGTCTATGTAATCAGGTAACAATCCTGAAATCAACATTTTACAAGTGATGTTGATAGCCGATAAATTAAGATTAATGTATTTTTAAGTGCAGATATCAGGGCAAAATAGCTTTTGGCCATAAAGTGATTGCTGGTAAATGGAACTTAGATATGTTTTTAATTTTCTACACCTTGGTTGTCACAGCATCTGTTTGAAAAGAGTTAGCACAAGGTTTAATCTACTATCTATATTTCTCATGTTGTCTGTCTGTGTGTCTGTCGTGGGCGTTGTTACCTTGCCAGGCCGCATTTCTCACCCGATTTCGATGTGGTTTTCAACACGTTTGCAAATGGCTGCTGTAAGGACATGACGGTGCCCGATTTTTGAGTTCGGAATCAGGTTAAAAAAAAAAAAAAAAAAAAAAAAAAAAAAAATCGATAATCAAAAAAATTCTGCTTACAGAAGGAATGATCGCATTTCAACCAAATTTGACACCCTCTTAGAGTCTACCATTAGAAGTGTTGTCCAGAAGTTTCATGACCATGGACCCCTAAACAGCATGGAAAATTGATAAAACCCAAAAACCGATACGCCCAGATTGCGTCTGAACCGCATGTCAATTTTTAGCAAAAACCGAGCGGATTTATGAAGAGGCCATTGGGAGTCATCATGTGAAGTTTCAACTCTGAGCACCCCCCAAACAGAGTGCAAATCGACAATCGGTCAACAATTAAAAATGTTTTTTCCGGTTTTTTAAAGCTGATTGTATTGTGTTTATTTTGTTTAGTTCTTTTTTCGTAACAGATTTAATGTTTGCTATAGAGCTTAGAAAAAGTTGGCAGTGTGATATAGGCAAGAAGTAAGGCATGTAACAACATCAGCATGGCAAAGGGCACTCCTCTAAAGGCAAGGAAGGGCAAAAATATTTTAAGTCAAGTGATAGCGATTACTGTATTAGTCGTACTATTTTTGAATCAAGCACGGGCAACACCAGGCCATGCTGCTAGTAACTGATAAGAATAAGAATTAATTTTAGAAACCAGATGTCCTTTTCGGAAATAATCAGCTGAAAATTTCATAATTATTATTTTGATTTTCTGGTGAGGAATCCTTCACCAGTAAGAAAGCCATCTGGTTAATTTAAGGAAATATTGAGAACACATAAGCTGAGCTATAAGCCTTGTAAATTATCATTTTCTAAGGCTTGGCTAGGAAAAGTGAAGTCAATGATCATTGTTATCAGGGGTGGGAGTTCCTCATATAAGCAAGCCAATTTCACTTGGCAGTCAATTTTTGTAAAGGCAGCAAATGATTTGATAACACAACCACATTTCACCAAACACATAGGCAGTGAATATACAGAACCCTCAAGTTTCATAAAAGTTAAATCCTGTAGACATGTTTTTCTCTTCACATTAAATTCTGTTAAGTACACAGAACACATTTGGTTTGTTTATCAAAGAATTTTTCTTCCCTTCAAACCAACCACCAACAACTCAACTGTAGCCTGAAATCAGAAGCAAAGGGATATCACACTCTGCAAGAGATCAATTTCATTGATTTTCTATGGGCACACAGACAGAATTTGGGTTCAACTACTGACAATCGCCATCAGACAGGTGGAACTGGAAAGGCTTAATCTGTTCAACTGAAGTGGGACATATCTACCAGCCTTGTTAGCACTTGTTCCCAGGCATGAAGCAGTCAGCTGATATTGACAAATTACACAATCCACCCAGTTATATCTTTTTGCAAGAAACCAGTTATATTTGAATGCTGTAAGAAGAATTTGATCACCCCCACTCTCCAGATCACTGTTATATGTATACAAATAGTTTAAGAGGCTGCTTTTACAAAAAAATATCCTAATTTTAAAAAGAAATTTAATTTTTAAAAATGAAGGAAAAAAAAAAAAAAAAAAAATGAATGCCTATTACATATTTAAGTAAAATATACTAAAAATGTCATAGCAGTTTTTCATTATGCTGAAACTATTAAAATAATTGGAAAAAGCAGGAAAATTTAATTATTTTAAAACTAAAAATAAAATTTAAAGAAAGTTAATTTTCATTTTAATGCAATCTACTAATAACTGATGTAGCAGTTTCACCTTATACTGAAAATCTTAAATTTAATTAAAAAGCTTGAAAAGATCATTTTAAAACTAAAAAATGTAATTTTAAATCAAGTCATCCCAAGGCGATAATGCCATTAAGAAGTAAGATTTTACTCAAAGTGAAAGAGAATGAGGGGACTTTATAAGGAACCGAAAACTCAATCCTAAACAGGAAACAAAGGATAAACCTCTACCCAGTTCAAAATACAGGCGAGGTGTGTAAACTAGATAGGCAAAATTATCTACTCCTATTAAGGATAAATAAAAAAAGAAAGTAAATAAATTTCAGAGTTTAGGTAGAGACATTAGAAGTTTTATAAAATGCATATTCACATTCTGCATAGTTGATTTTTGTAAAAAAAAAAAAAAAAAAAAAACTACCAAGAATCTCTCCAGATATCAATTCAATAGAAAACTTGTTATACATTATTAAAAGATATACTCAAGAATGCAAAAAATATTCAAGAAAAGATGATTACTTCCAAGAAGTAATAAAAACTGCTACTAATGTGACAGGGTACTGTTCCTGTTTAAACTTTTAAATGCCCGACATCATGAGATGGTGATCTGGAGAGACTACTAACTGGATGATAATTGTTAAAATTATCAGGAAAGTGGGTTAAATAGTTGAAAAGAAATTAAAAATGAAATGTGTTAAAATTTGTTTTCAAGTAATAAAATGAAATCAAGAACAGTTCCAAGGAGAAATTGAATTCTGATTTAACTAGAAAAAGATTCAATAAAATTGAGCAAGCCCAAAATATTCAACCCTATCCACGGATAAAAGGATTAATATATTGTCCCAGTTGCTTGGGTCCTGAGAAACTTGAAAACGGACATGTTTTACAATAAGTTATTGATAGAGAATGTGTGTGGTCACAGAAAATAATGATCTAATTTATTCTGGACAAGGAAATAGGAAACATCTGGTTTATGCAGAATTGTATTGACCTTCCAAGAAACAAGTATTGTTACAGAAAAATAATTAAGACTTTGAATATACAAGGGAAATACCAT